GACACGCCTTCCTTTCCTCCATGTTCGGCCCTTTCGCGTGGAGCCTCAAGATTACGAGCAATGCAGGGTTGCTATTTTAAGGGCGCCCGGTCCCAACTGGGAACTGCTGCTGCTGTGGCACCCGATACCTGCAGCAGTGGCTGGCTCTGCTCCCGGCCGCGGGCCCCTGCCCTGTTGCATCCAGCACGTCTTCAACAGCAAGCAGGTTGCCCGCCCAGCTCACTGCCGCTGCCCCTCCCTGGCCAAGTCATCCCAAACATGCAGGACCCGGAGCTCCCTGCACCTAGCTGCCCTCCATAGCCGGGTCATCCCAAGCGGAGCTCCCCACACCTAGCTGCGTGGCACACACGCGCGGGTATTCAAGGAATCTGGCGTTGTTGTTTTTTTTAAAAAAAAAGCCGGATTCCTTGAATGCCCGCGCGTGTGTGCCACGCAGGTAGGTGCAGGGAGCTCCGGGTCATGCACGTTTGGGATGACCTGGCCAGGGAGGGGCAGCGGCAGCGGCAGCGAGCCGGGCGGGCAACCCGCTTGCTGTTGAAGACGCACTGAATGCGGCAGGGCAGGGCCCTGCGGCCGGGAGTGGCTTCTGGCGGCTCCCGGGCAGCGATCCCACCACCATCTGCTCGTGGCTCTTCCCACCCGGACGCCCAAAGCCTCCCAGCCCGCCCAGGGCGAGTCAGCTGCAGTGCAGCCGGTGGTAGGCAGGAAGGCTTCTGGCGGCTCCCGGGCGGCAATCCCACCGCCATCTGCCCACTCACTTGCTACGCTACCCCACCCATGCAAGCGGCAGCGGATGGGCAGGGGAGCGAGCAATCGAAGGCGCCAAAATTAAGCGGGATCTTTGGGGAACGGCCCGGGACGCGGGAAAAATTATGAGAAAGCGTGCCTGTCCTGCCAAATGCGGGACATCTGGTCATGTTATACTAGAGGGAGTTATGGAGATGTTTAACTCTGAGCTGGAGTCTATCATTAAAGAGATCTTTGAAAAAATTGTACAGAAAATTGTCTATACCATGGCTGTCAATCTCACCGTGTTATGTTGCTGTCAGGTGATGTTTCATGATGTTTTTCTCCTTAACAGAGGTGGGGTGCATCCAGCTTGTGGTTTGTTAGTTTGACACCTTTGATCTATACCATAAATCATTTAGCATCCAAAGTGGATGTTAAAAAAGAACAAGAGCAACAATTAGATGTAGAAAATTATAAACTCACTGTGTCAATTCTACAAATGCTGGACAATGGAAACAACTTAACTGTACCTTTGGAATATAAACTTGGCATCATCTTTTATTATTATGATGGTAGAACCCTCCCAGTGCAATTGAAACAAGAGTGCCTAGTAAATTCACAACTCGCAAAAGAAGTCTTGCTTGGGAATTTTTCCTCGTGGATACTAACAATGTCAAGAATTGTTTGAGGAAAAAAAAGATATGATAGACATCTTAGAGAAGGAAACTTTGTGAGGATTTGCTTCAGGTTAGTCTACAATGTCTAATAAAACAACTTTGGGACATTTATATAACATTTACATTATATCTATATCTATATCTATATCTATATCTATATCTATATCTATATCTATATCTATATCTATATCTATATATCTATATCTATATCTATATCTAT